CTCCCATCGCGTCAGATATCGTCTCAATGAACAGAACCCTCAGCGAGGGATTGGGCGTGGTGGCCACCGAGGTCACCGGACCTGACTCCATTGGACTTTTATCTGTGGGGTCACTTGAAGTCCGTCGTTTATGCAACGCCCATGAACAATGAAGACGACCTATGGGAACGTGTGCAGATGATTCGAGGACACCCTGGTGTGAACGGAGGATTCCGTCGATCTTGTGTACGTCATGCTCAGGGATGTGTGGAGAACGGAGGACCAAGCTTTGAGCATCTGTTATGAATAAACATCCCTGCCCTAATATTTGGCAATAAAGGCATACATTGCAACGTATTTTTGGCTATTATTTTGAAAAAGGTGCATTTGCGACCACATGTTCAAAGGAGCTTTTTTTTTTGACCCAGGAACACGCATACGAAGTTTGTAAACATACTTTTGACTCACCCTATACTCGCAGTCGTGAGAACCTCAAAAACTTCTAAGCCCCACTCTGACACCAGAATCTTCAATCAGCCTGACTTGGCCACCAAAAACATTACAAGAAATTTTATTATTGCAAGAAAATATTCCATAAAAAGCTAAAATCTAAAATTGAATATGGGTCACAGTTTTAAAACACTTACCTCTACCATCTCTCAGTTCCCAATTCCGAATGCATGAACTCAACGACGGGGAAATATGTGCCACTTCACTATCCCACTTGTTCACTATTCGCGTATATCTTCAACAAATATCAATGGTTTGTTCTGTAATACGTGTAACTTTATTCACACGGTTCGTAAAGTTCCTCGATTCCTTTGCCGTCCTTGAACTCAGCTGAAAACAAAAAGGAGGGATCGCCATTTTGACAGTGTGCCCGCTATATAAGTACACATTTCTCTTCTATCCATAAACCAGGGAGATTTAGCTTTCCAAGGCTATTAAAATTCAATTATCTCGACTCATACTATCGATAAAAATCGAAATATTCTCACTATCTTAATTAAAGGTTATGGTTTTTAGTCCCAACATGAACGTTCGTAATGACGAGATAGTTACAGGCTGAAGGAAACTTATAGATATTTCTTCATAACTACACACTCAAAACTGTGAGGCAGGAACCTCCAATATGTAATTACAATTGTGCCACCTTCTTCGCTCGACACAATAGTTCTTGAAACATAAGCAAATGAACAAAGCAATGTATTATTTTATCCTCAGTATGAACGTTTTCGTTTAAGAGATTACAACAAGCTGAACTAGAATTCATGATAAACAAGCCGAACCCTTCCAACTCAATTAACATTATTACAAATTGTTATTTATAAAACGAAACACTACACAACTATTGGCCACTTCAATCACGCCCGCCATTTCAAAACTATTATGACAGATGGCAGTATGTATCATGCTGATTACATTGCCAACTTATGAAAAATTCCACTTTCCATCATAAGTTCATTGCAATGGAAAATGGTATATAAGTTATGACCCAGTGATTTGTTGTTTCTCGGCACTACAACTCTGTTGTGGGTTTATTTACCATAAAGAGAACTTTTGTCGATGTACTCAATTTATCCTAGTGAATCCCTGGTTAGCATCTTAAAATGTTTCACGTCCACTTCTTCCCTTAGTCTTAGACCTATCATTGTAACGACTTAAATTATCTTTCAGTATTTTAAGGTATAATACCGATACAAATAAATATAGTTGTGCGAACTGACAAAAAATACATGAAATTCTGTTACAGTTATGAAATAAGTTGCCTATGTTAGAAGAATGTTGAAATAGTTGCTGAAACATTAGAAATGACATTAAGATGACAAATTTTCAGTTAATTCCTCTAAATGAATCCACCAGATATATTTAGCTTTATAATTACGATTGAGGCTACAGTTCCTGGAGTCCTATTTGCATGAACATAAAATAATGACCATGTACACCTTTCTATACATATCTACTCATGTTTTCATTCAGTTACAAATATTTTGAACCTTGGTATAAAGAGCATATTAAATACAAGGGTTAGAGTGTCAAGGCTCCTAGACCATAAAAGGGACTGCAAGTACTGAAAGCTTAGGGTAGATCATATTTTCATAAAGGTAG